TGCCATGGCGTCAGCCTAGCTCACAGCAACCTCAAACTCCTGGGCTCAAGCGATCCTACTGCCTCAGCTCCCAAGTAGCTGGGACTACAGGCATGCACCACCATGCCCAGCTAATTTTTTTCCATATTTAGTTGGCCAATTAATTTCTTTCTATTTATAGTAGAGATGGAGTCTCGCTCTTGCTCAGGCTGGTTTCGAACTCCTGACCTTGAGCAATCCGCCGCCTGGGCACTCGGCCCACAACTCAATCTTTATAGCTAAGAATAAATCATGTGAAACCTGTAACATTTTATTTGTTAAAAATGAACAGCTTCAGAATAGATCTAAATGTAACTTTTCAAAAAAAAACACCAAAAGTACAGTGTAAAGCACTCCTCATTAAATACAAACTTTCATTTTATGATGCACTGCATCAATGTTTTGCATACACCTTGATGCAAAGGAAATTTTAAGTTGCACCCTGTTTATCTCTTTAAGATTGCTTTGCATACCTTTGCCCTGATGCGTATGTGTTGGTTTCACAAAATAACTCTCAGAAAGCAAACTCTGTCTCTCCTTTCCAAGTTTTTTGGGAGGCTATATTGTGACCCTAATGTGCTAATAACAAAATTGAAATGAACAGAGAAACATAAATAACTGCTATATGAAATTGAAGAGAGGTCTCCTGATTTTTAAAAATTTTTTCAGAAATATGAGATGGGAGAGATGATGAAGAAGTAACTCCAGCATTTTCAATTACAGAAGCCATTCTTTCCACTGTGGCTTATCTAATATTTGTGACATTGATTGGCAAATAATCAACATTCATTAAGATTTTATTTCTACAAAAGGCTACAACAAAGATGGGGAATGGGTAGGGGGCTGGCAAGCTTCTATAAAAATAAGAATTTATCCTAAAGAAATATTTACAGCAATGGTTGCTCATTGTAGCATTGTTAGTAAGAGAGAAAAACTAGAAATAATCTAAATATTTACCAATAGGGATTGAATAAAGACATCATAGTATATCCATTAAATGGAATTCTATATAGCCATTTAAAAATATAAAAGTAAATATGTATAGATAGGGAGATAGCTCCAGAGTACATTAAAAAAATGTAGCCAGGTACAGTGGCTTGCGCCTGTAGTTTCAGCTACTTAAGAGACTGAGGTGGGAGGATCGCTTGAGACCAGGAATTTGAGGCCAGCTTGGGCAACATAGTGAGACCCCACCTCTAAAACAAATAAAATTTAATTTAATTTTAAAAATAGATGCAGAACAGTATGTAGAGTATAATCCATTTAAATATATATGCGTAGAAAAAATAAACAATTTCTCAAGCTGTTGATTTTATTTCTATATGGTTTTGTGTTGCTTGATACATTTTTACCACAACTAACATATCACTTTTAATAGAAAAGTTCTGGAATTTCATTGTCAGAAACTGAAAACTTGTGGTAATAAGCTTAACCAAGAGATGTTCTTTGAACAAACTATATTAGAGTCAGAGAAGGAAACAGTGGTAATGCAAACTGTGCAGGAAAGAACTGATGAAGTATTGTGTCTGGCTGCACGTACAGGTGGGCAGAAGAATGAGGAGAGAACGTCTAAACTAGTCATTTATGAAACTGTGAGGTGGTGGAGACCAATAGTTTATAGAATAACAGGTACAAAGCTTATTAAATCCTACAGAAGATAAAGAATGGTAATACATTTGTTTGAGGGCAAATATTAACAACATGAACATAGCACTGGGAATTATAATTGATAGGTATGCATGTCAGTGTAGCAGAATACATATTTTGTGACACAAACTTGCTTGTTAGTAGCAACATGAAGTTAGTATCAGAAGTACTAACTTCTGGTAGTTACCAGGGAGTACCAGAGGGAGTACCAAGGGAGTACCAGAAGTTACAAACATGTAAATAAGGATATTATAATTTACTGGGCAAAGGGAGTATGTAACATAAATAATCCCAGAAGATGTTACAGGAACCAGAGGAAGGGACTCCTGACACCCCTCAGTGTGCTGACAGGCATCATAAAGGGGGTCATATTTGAGCTGTGTCTGAAGGACAGCAAGAGTTTTCTAGGCAGCGTAGAGAAAGGAGGACAACCCACACTGAGAAATCAGCAAGTCCTGAATTCTAGAAGCCAAATGATTTGATGGGCGGGTCATCTTTTAAGGGGCAAACTGGTGGGAAATGGAGCAGTAGAGTGAGTGAGATCTTAAATCCTATGCTAGGGGTTTTCACCAAGCCGGTAAGCTCTGGGGAGCTTTCTAATAAGCATTTTAAGTAGGAGATGGCATGATCAACATTGTATTTCAGAAATCTGTACTTAGAAATAAAGACGTGATCACAGGATATTCTTAAGGCAAGTGGATTAACCTAAGGAAGGCCAAACCTGACACCAAGCAGGGCAAACACCAGCATCAGCCCCTCATCCCTCGTTGATACTAACATATCAAATAGGTAACTAAAGGATAAGTGAAGACTTCTGACTCTTAGGGTACTAGATCATCAATTCATAGTGCTATAGAGATGGAAGTCCCCATAAACGTTACTGAGTCCTAAGCTCTCATTTTTATAGCTGAGGACACCTGTAAGCAACTTGCCCAAGGTCACACAGATGGTGCTGACTCACCTTTGGTGAGAATGGACTTACAACATTTTATAGTAGGAGATTTCTATATTAAAAACAAAAAGCGTTCCTATGAATTTAAAAACCTTTGGTTGAAACACTTTAACAATATGTACTCCTTAATGATGACAAGCAAAAATTTGAAATTGCATTTAAAATAGATTGGAGAATTAACAAATATTTAGTATAATGGAAAGTGACTTTTTAAAACAAGCAACAAAAAAAGTCCTTAAGCTTCAAAATAAATGGATATGACCTGGTTAAGAATACATTAATATCTTATTTTTCACACTTGCTCTTTAATAGTGTCCCTTAAGTATATCTTAAATTTGATAAACCATTGCATTTTGCTATTTGGAAATGAGATTGCTTGTAATTAACCACACTCATCTAATGGTCTTTCCTTTCTCTAATCCACCCCCATGAAGCATTTTATACTTCCTGGAACATATATAACATATTTTAGCCAGTGGAGTTGAAAAAATCTGCTTTCAAAACTCTAATCATCCCTTTTCTTCTGTTCAAACTATATGCCAAAAAAGAACTGACTCCCGATTACTTTTAACCCCCACAAATCCGTGTTCCCAAGCCACTCAACCTAACATGATTAATCAAACTCCCTGCACCCTCTCTCTAGTACCACATAGCCATGAGTAACTAAGAATAATAGGCTTAATTGAAGTGTCACTTGCAACTGTCAAAGAGCAAATATCAACATATGAAATGTTTTCTCTTTTGACACATAATTTCTCTGTATCAGTGACTTTCTGGAGGGAGGTGTCTGTCCTCTAGGCTCTCTCTGATTTCATAAATTAATATTCTGAAACATGAAAAGCCTGTGCCATGGTCACTAACACACCATGAGCCACTTTCCTCCCATTTGCTTGGAGGTCATGGCAGATCGTATATAACCATCACCACATGGCAGAGCAAGCCTGTGGCAAAGATTGAAAGGATTGTTGGAAGAGCCTCAGCCTCAGGCCACTGAAGTGCAAATGTGAGCTGGGATGGGACATCATTCCATGGCTCTGATCGACAGTGCACTCTCCATGTTGTCCCCAGCCAAAGTTGGGTTCCCAGGAACAGAGCAAAGAAAGGAAAGGATGGGATATCTGTCTCCCCTGCTCAATTTCTCTAAATTCCCCTCCCCGTTCAACTCAAAGGCCACCTCCACCATGAAGCCTTCTTTGATTGATCCACTTTCAATAATATCTCCCAGGGCCTCCTAATCATTCTACCCTCTCCCTCCAGCCACAGTGATTGGCCCAGGGATAGTTGCATCACCTGAGGTGAGCCAATCAGAGTTCCACTAGACTTAATATGCAGATACTATTCTAGAAGTTCTTCTATAGTAGGACTTCCTTTCTTCTTGAACATCTATATAGCTTGATATGAGCCCGTGGGCATGCTTTCTATTTTGTGTTTTGCCCTTCCAAACTCCTCCATCACATGCCACACCTATACCCTCCCAAATCTACCATATAGGGAAGCTTATTGGCAAGGCAGAATAAAGCCAATACTTAGAGAGAGAAGAACTGAGGAGGGAGGTGGGGGAGAGAGAAAGAGAAAGAGAGCGAGAGAGAACAGCCGTCACCTATGGTGCTCTGCCTAAAAACACCCAGTTGAGGAGTGGGCGGAAGCTGAAATCCAACCTGGATCCTGTTCCCTGGTAAGGGGCTACCCTCAACTGGAGGAATGGATCCTCCTCTCCTTTTGCTTTTTCAGACAAAGGCTCTGTCTGTTCACTAAGCCTTCTTCTAACACATACAAAGGTGCTGCACATGATGGGGGTGGGGGTGTGGGGGAGAGAAAGGGGGAGAGAGAGATGTAGTAAGATCAGCAGATGCCCTAGAGCCATTCCATCCTTCTCAGTCACAGCCACCAACACATCCCCTTTTCACATACATTTGCTTTAGTCGGGTTTTTGTCACTTGTAACCAAATCCTGACAAACACAGCAGACTAGAGCCCAGATTGCTTCAGGTGAAATTCCATGCTTGTTTTAGCCTTAAACATCCCATTAGCCATTGCCTTTGGACTCTTCCTTTCAATCTCCAAGCCCGTATGCTTCCCTAGTCAGGCACAGAATAAATAACTATCCTTCCTTGTCTTTGAGACTGAGATAGCTTCTACACAGAGATAACATACCAAAGAAATCAAGTTCTATCTAATGCTGTTGCATTTTCTTCATGAAAATGACTATTTATGATCTCTTTCATAACATTTTTAGTAATTTTTCTGCTGTCAACCCCAGCAGCAGAGTATGTTGCACAAACACTGGCTATTCTTGCCTAGTGTTAAAAAGTCATCATTACTTTTTCCTCACAAATCCTGGTGTGGTTTTGTTTTGTTTTGTATGTAAGGGTTGGATCACTCACCCTCTCTGGTATCTGTCCAACTCATGGAGAACTGTGTGGTCACAGTATTCAAACACCAGGTGAAGCCTCCGCTTCCTCCTGAAGACTTCCAGGAGGTTGACAAGGTTGGGGTGCTTGAGTTGCTGCAAGCACAAAAAGCAAGGTGCTTACACGTGAGTTGTGAAAGACAGCTTTCTCTAATTTTGACCCAGTTAAAAAAAAAAAAAACCAGCTGCTTGTCCTATAGGAGTTTCATTTCTTGGATTGAAGGAGGCTGTAAACTGTATTATCTTAGCTGTCTTCATGAGTTATTAATATTTGTCAGTAGCCTGTAAGTGAAAAATGGTTATAACCCAGGTGGTTAGTAAAGGCAAAGAACGGTAAGAGAAGACTGGAAAAGAAAGGAGAATGAAAAGGTAGGGGTGATGCTAAGTTAATACAAACTCAGCTTTCAAGGCTCAGATCAAATGTCCCTTCCTAAGGAGGTCTCCCTCCATCTCCCCAGATGGCTCCAGTGCCTTATATGTCTAAAAGCCCCCCTCAGAATTACTAAGTAATTAATAAGCAATCTTTACTTAGTAACTATTGTTCAGTTAATTGTCTAATGTCCTCTGGTATCAACAGATATATATGGATACCATAAATACATTCAACAGAGTATAAGAACCATGGCATCAGAGTCTGTGTTCTCTTGTTCGCTCAAAATTATGTCATTGTACCTCCAGCACTGTGCCTTATGCAGAACAGACATTCAATAATTTTTGTAAATGTATGAGCAAGTCATGTTTCCTAGGCTGATGAAACATTTTAAAACAGAAAAACAAAGAAAGCTCTCCAATCTGATGTGCCTGAAAATGTGTCTAGAAAACAAAGCGCAGGAGTAAATGTTAGCTTTGCAGAGATAAATCGTGTACTTAGCTTCCTGGCCCTTCCTGTACATAATCCTATCAGAAACACTACAACTAGGCACTGATATCGATATCCCTTATCTGCTGAATAAAGCAAGAGACTTACACTAAGGAAGATTAAAAACTTACAGGAAACACCTTAGTCAGGGATCCTTTTTTTTTTTTTTTTTTTTTTTGAGACAGAGTCTTACTCTGTTGCCTGGGCTAGTGTGCCGTGGCATCAGCCTAGCTCACAGCAACCTCAAACTCCTGGGCTCAAGCGATCCTCCTGCCTCAGCCTCCGAGTAGCTGCAACTACAGGCATATGCCACCATGCCCGGCTAATTTTTTCTATATATTTTTGTTGGCCAATTAATTTCTTCTATTTTTAGTAGAGCGGGGGGGTCTCATTCTTGCTCAGCTGGTTTCGAACTCCTGACCTTGAGCGATCTTCTGCCTCGCCTCCCAGAGTGCTAAGATTATAGGCGTGAGCCACTGCACCGGCCAGCTCCTTGTTTTTCTAAATATTCTGTTGACAGTTGTTCTCAGATAAGTTTCCATAAGAATTTTTGAATCCAGTATGGTGGCTTACGCATATTACTTCCCCTAACATTAAAAATTGTGTAAAATTACATAGACAACAAATTCCACCTTAATAATTTTTAACTGTAGCAGTTCAGTGGATTAAATATTCATATTGTTGTACAACCATCACCACCACCCTCTCCAACTCTTTCACTTGCAAACCTGACTTTGTCCTATTAATAATAGCTCCCCATTTCCACCATCCCCCTGTCCTGGCAACACCTACCCTACTTTCTTCACTGTAATTTTGACTAGGTACCTCATGCAGGTAAATGATCAATATTGTCTTTCTGTTACTGGCTATACCTTAACTAATGTTCAAGATCATCCCAGGTTAGGATATGTCAGAATTCTTCCTTTTTAAGGCGATAAATAATTCCCATTGCATTATGTACCCACTTTTGTTACCATTCTTCGTTGATCTGTGAATTTTGTGTTGCTTTCACTTTTATGCTATTGTAACATGCTGCCATAAACACGGTGTCCAAATATTCTTCAAGACACTGCTTTCAATATTTTGGTTGTAGGAAGGGGCAGGCATCTTTTTGTTTTTTTCAAGGTCTCAGGAATTCCAGTGTGTAGCCAGAGGTATCAATTCACGAAAAGCAGTATTCTATAAGTGATAAAAGGTCGAAAGTAGAACAAATGAACTCTTGACTGCATGCTGTAACAACTTTGATGGGTAAGTGAAAAAAAGGCGCCTCAAGGGAGATACTAAGAGACATTATTTTCTCATTTCTTTGCAAAATCCCTCTGTATTTTCAAGATGCAACAATTCTGCTCGGAATATTATGTTTGATGACCATGGATAACTCTAAGAACTAACCAGCTTAGTCATTTTGCTGCTATATGCATACTTAGACTGGCATTCACAAGGAGCAGAAATTTATTTCTTACAGCTTGCAGCCTGGGAAGTCCAGATCAAGGCGCAGCACTGTGCTGGGAGAGCTGCTGTTCAAGATGGCCTTGTTGCTGTGTGCTCACATCGAAGGCAGAGGGCAAGAGAGTGCTCCTTAACTTCAACCTTTTTACAAGGATGCAATCATTCTGGAGGGTGCCCACATGACTTTAATCACCCTCCCAAAGGCCATATTTCTTAATAATGTTTCATGAGTTAATCACTGAATTTTTGAGAGGCTTGCCATCATTCAAATTAGCAGCCCATCATTTACTATAGTCTTCTTAGAACAGAAGCACTCCGAGCTATAGAATGCCACTTTCTGTTGGCATACTGGAAACTCGCTGAACTTTTCCAAATAGTAGGATAAGATACTACTGTTTAACCTATGAATTGCTTGGCTCAGAACAGAAAGGCAACACCAAATTAATAGGGATAACTAATAATGAGTAAAGTGGGTTTTTCTTTCAGATTCTAAAACCATCTCCCTTAGGCTCTATTTTCATTTTCATAGCATTTGCACTTTTGATAGGAGTGATATTGAGGCAAGACTTCAATATCTTTGAATCTTTCAATTTTCATGTTCAATATCTATCCTCTCATTACATTTAGCCAATCTTCTTTTTTTTTTCTTAGCAAAAGTAAATCATCAATCTACCAAAACAAATCCCCTGAACCTCTGGATGCTAAGACTGATGCCTCCCTGCTATTGTCCAAATCGCAATGATCCTCAGGCACTGCTGCCCTAGATTAAGACTGAAGAACCTCTCATTTGGCCTCTGTTTACCTCTCTCCAGCTTCATCACTTGTACTTTCTCCCAGACACGACTGATTTCTCTCACTCTATAGTGTATTCGGCCTTTCTGTTCCTTTTCCTGTCCTCTCACCTCAGGATGACTTCTCTTACACCGCCATCCTCTGCATCATCCTGACCGCTGATTAGGCATTACAAGCTATGACCTTGGAACAAGGCAATGGTACAGTGGCCAAGGAAGGGCATTGCACAGCAGTTCATGGTCGAATGGGAACAGTAAGTATTGTACTACCTGCTACATGTCAAGACAGTTTTTTACCTAGTTAAACTGACAACAATTCTATTCCAATGACTGCAAGTCTTTCTAGTTTTTGGGCTTATAAATAGTTTTTTGGAGCTGAGTTCCACTTGTTGCCAGGCCTAGAGTGAGTGCCATGGCGTCCTAGCTCAAACAGCACCTCAATCTCCTTGGGCATCAAGCCGTCTACGCTAGCCCTCCGATGCGGTACAGGCATGCCCACCATGCCCGGCTATTTTTATATAATTAGTGGCCAATTAATTTTTCTTTTATAGTAAGAAGACACATCTTGCCTCAGCTGGTTTCGAACTCCTGACCTTGGCAATCACCCGCTGGTCCAGAGTTCTAGATTAAGGCCAGAGCCACCACGCCGCCCATAATTAGTTTTGGAACATTTATAGCTGTTGATCTTAACTTGAATAAGTTTAGTTTTCTAGGCCTCAGTTTTCCATTTGCCAGAGGAGCTAAAGGCTAGTGCAGAATTACACATAAGGCACACACAATAGTAGGATCAGGTAATTGACTCTCTATAAATAACTTTGTCTGCTACTTCTGGATATATTGTATTTAGGATGACTTTTTCTATATTTTTCAACAATTTTATTTAGAATCATGGCACTGTCCTAACCTAAGATCAGAGACAAATAAAGCAAGTTGTCATACCTCATGGAGCTTAAATTAGGAGGGAGACAGACCATTTGGCAAGTATCAACAGATAATGAAGAAATTTGAAAAATCAACATTTTCCTGGTTGCAGGGTGAGGGGGTGTCCAGGAAATAATCCTTGAGGAAGTCCATTAAGTTAACTGGTCTCATTAACGAGATTAACTGAATTAACTGGGCACTTCTAGAAACTAGATACAGACTTATAAGTCTAAAAAGTTATGCATTGTTCCAAAGATTATATATTACCCTCTTGCCAGGGCGAGTATGAGAATAACTTTTTCCATATTATGGCCAGTTTTGAGGAGCATATGGGACATTTAAGAGTAATGTATTTGCTAAATTCGCTTCCTTTGAGGCCTTACAAATGCTCCCTGCAACACAGGAGTGTTACATGATTTAAAACACTGTCTCCTATCTCCCTAATCACTGTCATCATGTAATACTGTAAATTTCTCCAACATTTCAATAATTAATTAGAAGATCAATCACTAAGACTAAATTCCTAATTAGGATAGAGTTAGAATGTAATTAAAATATTTTTAATAATTTTATTAACGTCTTTAGCATTGGAATTCCTAGGCTGACCCGAAATACCCAACAAGAGATCTGGTATGGCAATAGCACCCCTTATAACCAGTTCTGCTGGCCTGGCATTCATATACCTACTCACCTATTAAGAGCACCACTTGCATCACGCATTGTTTCTGGGTACTAGCCAACCCTCGCATGCACAGAGCTAGGCTCTTACCTAAAAAGGGAGGGGCCCTCTGATAAGAGATACAGGCTCGCTCAGAAGAACCGGCCCAAAAAAAAAGATAGAAATCATAGAACAATAGAGATCAAAGGAGGAAATGAAGCAAATAAAGATAACAAGAACAACAAAGGAATAAAGAGAGAAAAAAATAAGAAGGAGGACGAAAGACAGCCTTCTAGGCGAGTGACTAGACACATAGAAAACAGCAAGAGCACAAACACAAAAATAGAACACAATAAAATAAAAACAGAAACAATAGATACAAAAAATATGAGAGATCCACACAGCACCACTACACACT